AGTATTCAAATTTTATCATATTTGCTTATTATTCGATTTTTTTTAACAAAATGTAAATTTAATAAAATGTTAAAAAAAATATACTACGACTACAATCAGCTGGTGGTGTATTATTGGAGTCTGGACCTTCGCTAAATCATCACGATGTTGTCCCCTGGCAATGCAGGGTGGGGGAAGCAAAGTTTTTATTTCAGTTCAGTTTTTTAATACGGACAAAATGAGAGCATTGTATTGGCTGAGGGAACACCATTAGCGCAACGATACGGAATGGCGCCATTGGCCTCGTTGGTCTAATGGATGACGTGCCGGACTGAGAAACTGGGGGTACCAGGTTTGAATCCTATCGGTGGCACTAACTTTTTGTCTAAGATTTTTGCATTATCAGCAAGTTTGGTTAGGTTATGACAGTTTGATTTGATAATTAAAACATTATACAATTGGATTTGAGCTATTATAGTTTTAGAACTATTTTTTTGTACCTATTAGTAAACCTTCATTCGATTTCTTTTCATTATCAGCAAGTTTGGTTAGTTTGGTTAGGTTACGGCAGTTTAGTTTTATAATTAATAAATTATAAAATTGAATTTGAGGCATTTATAATTTTATTTTATGAACAGAACTATTTTTTCGATTAGTAGACCTTCATTAGATTTTTATTTTATATCTTCTTTATATTTTCCTGTCATGAAATGCTCGCGTTTGGCGGCCGTCTAGAGGGGAGGTGGAGGGAGAATCATTTTCCCCCACTCCTCAGCACCAGGGGACAACATCGCTATGATAAAGCGAAGTTTTAGACTCCAGTGTCCAGTGTGCAGTATTTCCCATTCCGTTCATGGCTTGGGTTTAATCTAACCTAAAAACGTGTTGTATAGTGTTTAACAGACTTCTTATTTATATGCTTTATAGTGACTGTAGGAAAAATATAATGTGTAACACGAGTGCAAAAGGCCTTTGCTGCACTCGAGATCATTCCGCACTTGCCTGCGGCTCGTGCGTAAACATTGCTCTCGTGTGCAGCAAAGTGCCACTTTGCTCACTAGTAACACAAATAACTATTTCATTTATGTTCGTTGTTCGTATGTTTGGAATCTTTTGTTCGTGGGTCCTAAGACGGGGGAGCTATTCCTTTAATACAATTTCCCATCGACATAGACCGTATCTAGTGTTGGAATTTGTTCCAACCACTAGTCCATATATTGCTTTAGGTTAGACACCCACATTTCCCCCCCCCCCGTTATCAAAGTTCGTAGCTCTTTTACACGGTGTCTTTTATCGTAGTTTCGCTTATGGTTTTCTTTCCCTGAGCTGCCTATTACCTTAATCATTTTCAAGTCTGGCCACTTAGTCTCAAATGATTCCTTTGAATCTGAAGTTGGAACATTGCTCCTGATGTTGCCATAGTGGTTGTCTCTTTGATAATAACTTTGAGGGCGGTACTGGTCACCCTGTTTTTTTCTGTCGAATGCTCCTGGGCCTTGGGAGTTTGTCTCTACTCTTTTGTGCGATGTCCGGATACAAAGATTGCGCAGTGTTCATGGGAGGGCAATAATTGTTGGCTGATTGTTTTATGGACTTGTACTCCTTTGCAGCTGTCATTAGTTCCCCAATAGTTTTTATGTCCCATCCGAGACCGTATAACTTATACTCTGGACGCATAATTTCATAAATTTGGTTAAATTGTTGCTCGGGAAAATATTTTCCATGTCGCCGCATCAGGGTCTGAACACGGATTGCATAATCATTAAACAGCTCGTTTTGGCCTTGGGTACTAGCTCTTATTTAGAAATCCAGGTTTTCCCTGTAACGTTTGTGGCAAAAATTATTCGTCACCATACAAACCGTAAGCTTCTCTAATTTCATTTACTCGTTCCAAACAGAGAACTAGGCCCTTATCCCCATCAAAGCAAAGGTTCCACTTCCAAACTGTATTGCATACATTTATGTTTACCGAATATTTATGACTCACCACCCTCTTGGAATCTCCCTTGGTTGGTGGTTTTACCTCGGTAGTCTCCCTATACGGCCCTGGTAGTGACCATGGTCTTCCACCATGGGTAGTGACGTTGCTAACGCAGGTCTGTATTCTCCTCTGATGAAACTGCTAAACATGTGACGATCAGCTCTAACTGTTCATGAAGACTGAAGCCCAAACTTTCTTAGTTCCTGGACTAATTCCGCCTTCTTGAGGGTATAAATCCAACCTGTCCTCGGGTTCCTCTTTTCTTCCTCGACTATACTTCCGTTGTCCGATTCACTGTCAGACGGCATTTTATATTCTTCAAAAACGTGGTACTATTTACAATATTTACAGTTTCCGGGTCTTCCTTACCCTTTTCACAATTCCACTAAAGTCTTCACTTTAGTCCCTGTTCGGGTGTCAAAATCTTGTGAGAAAGTTTCCTCCAGAACACTAAGCCCTATCAAGGGTGATAAGGGTCGATAAGTGAAAGACTGGGTATCTTACACTTCCATTTATTCAGTGTTCTCCTTATCCTAACACATAAGTTACTTTGTAAAATGTTGTGTACAGCCTTTATCCTGGGTCCGTAGTCCTCCTACGAGGCAGTGTCTCCGGGCTCGTGTTCAGGGTTTGGTATAGTCTGGATCAGTCCCTGCGTACGCCCTTACTGGCCCGGTGGTCTACGATACTCCTACAAGATATCCGCGTGGGTCCGCGGTCTAGATCCTTGGTACCTTCACCCCGGAGTCCTCGGTCCCAAGGTCCCCTAGCTGCAGCTCTCCACTGGAGACGGTTCTGGCGTCACTTGTTCAGAAGTGGCGTCACTCTCTAGGTGGTCTACATGGTCTGCAGTCCGAAGTAAACACCGTCAATACTCAACGTATACCTTTGTGTGCGCTTTTAAGGTGGCGGGGGACTACAACGTCCTCCCCTCAACCTACGACTCGCGGGCTCAACACGCCCATGCGAGGGTGTCGGGGGCTCAACATGCCTTTCCGATGGTGCTGGTGGCTCAACATGCCCGTCCAGCGGTACCCGTGTCTCAACACGCCCATCGGGTGTCCCGCGGGCTCAACACGCCCATGCGGGGGGTGCCGGGGGCTCAACATGCCCGTCCAGCACCGTGGCTCAACACGCCCATCGGGTGTCCCGCGGCCTCAAAATGTCCAGGTGGGGTGCCGAGGGCTCAACACGCCCGGCCAGTGGTGCCCTGGGCTCAGCACACCGATCAGGTGTTCCGTGGGCTCAACACTTCGAAGCGGGGGGTGTCGGGGGCTCAACACCCCCGTCCAGTGGTACCCGGGGCTCAGCACGCCCATCAGGTGTCCTGCGGGCTCAACACGCCTGTCTGACGGTGTATACCTTTAGGTGCGATAAGTCAGATTTTAGCATTGTGCTGCATTCTACGATTTAGTTTGGAAACTATCCTACCGTGTGGAATATTCTATCACATCCGATTCCCACTACAAATTCATTTTTAAGTCAAATTAATTTGTATACCTCGTTTCTTATTTTGTCAACTTTTCACCCATCACAATTCCGATGTCTAATATGTCAGGTGGATGTTCAGCACGAGGGTAGTGTGTGGGGTCGGCCGGGCGACAACTTCTACATGGTGGCGGGCAGAGAGGTACATCCTGAGGCCTGCTCCAGTGCCGTTTCCCCTCTTGCACCCCCAGTCAAGGTGCTTGGCGTTCAGGTCGCCTACCAGAAGCACGGGTGAGCCGGGGGGCAAAAGCCGGTCCAGGAGTCCAGGGTCGAGGCGTCGTCCAGGTGGGTTGTAGACCGTCGAGATTTCCAGTCCAGTATCCCCATGCTGGAGGGCGATGGAGGTTACTTCTACTCCATGCAGGAGGTTTTTGGAGACCGGCATGTGGATGACCCGCATGTGGACCAGTATCGCCGATCCTCCGCTGGGGCGATGAGGTTGGAGGGGTCTGTCAGTCCTGTGTGTTGTATGATAATTCCGGACGTTGAGCGCATCCCCACCGTGGAGATGAGTCTCCTGGATGAGGGCCACGTTGACGTCTTGTTCTGTCAGTACTCAGTAGCCGAGTGAGCTCTTAGCGTATGCTCGCCAGCACGCTGGCGTTCCACGAGAGGATGCGGAGCCTAGGCATGTTATTTGGTGAGAGTGTCCACAAGTCATTCTAAGACAGCCAACATCCTCCTCAGAGCGAGCGGAGAGCAGCTGAGACAGCTCCAACTGTTGAGGCGGGCGTTGGAACGACAGGGCCGGTGTCAACTCCGGCTCGGCAGACTGGGCTGCCTGCTGGGCATCCGGGCAGAGCCACTGGGCTGCTGAGCTGGGCTGCTGGGTAGGGCCACTGGGCTGCTGGGCAGGGCGGCTGGGCTGCTGGTCTTTCGTGGTGGAACCTCTAGATGAGGGTGGGGAGTCCCTCTCACCCGGGGGTTCAGAGGTTAGACCGAGTTGACAGGGGTCTCACCAGGACGAGGTGGAGGTGGGGACCGGAGGCCCTGCCCCGGTTTGACGGGTTCCTCGGTGCGTGGTGACGCTTCCTTCGCTGCGTCTGGAAACCATCATCTCATCTTCCAGTTCAGGTGTTCACCTCATCGGAGGGCTCGGGCCTGGGTGACGATGGATTCGGTGACTGATGCGGTTTACGACCCGACGGTGTCGCTTTCACCACTGACGCATGGGAAGATGTGAACGATTTAAAGCTTGTGCATCCCGGTAGTTTGTTCGTGTTTATTTTTGAGCCTATTTAAATTTATAAAGGGATTCTACATATATCTAAAGGAAAATATCTTTCATTTGGTACCAACCGCATATAATAATTTGATCCAGTAGTATGGTTAGGCTAGTTGTCGTAAGCTTTGCAAATGTTTTTTAGTATAAAATATATGGACGGCCCCTTGAAAGAAAACACAACTTTGTGTACAATAATACCGACAATACACAACTTTAGCGTACAGCGTGGTGCAACGAGGCTGCCTGGTCTATTGAACCAAAGCCTGCAAAGCAAACTAGGAGAAACAAGAAAAAAGAAAAGAATAAAACATAGAATGCGAGGCGAGAGCGAAGCAGACAAAGACAAGACAACTCAACTAAACCTAACCTAACTTCGCCTTACTCTTTTCTTTTTTGGGTATTACTTAAACTGTTAAACTTTCATTCGCGTGTTGAATCTTGAGCTGAGTTGTTTAAGATATTAATTCATACCTTTAAATAATCCTGTGGTTGTCTTTAACCTAATTTTGTGTATCCCTTATGTGTTCACTAATACATTCTGTAATGTAATAAGTGGGTAAGTGGTATTGCCTAATTTAACCTTAAATATTTCTCTATCTGTCTTTTACTCTAGACCTAGCCTATCATAACCACATAGTTAGCTTACAACACCTATCTGGCTGGGCCTGACAACATGTCAGGGTCAGGTTCAGCCCAATCCTTGGATGAGACATTTTCGATAACATCAGAATATCTAAGGGTAACAAATGAAGCTGTAGAATCAATAATCAACATTCACCAAGGCCAAAATGATAATGACACTATGGAGACAAATACAGATAACCCTCTTAAGAGAAAGCAATCTTCAGAGTCAGTCACAGAAAGTTTACCCACAGGTGACAACAGGTACAAAAAACAAAATACTAGACGGAAAAGACAATACAATCTAACCAATGAAGGACCTTTTGAGGTCATTTTACAAAGCAGGGATGAAAACAAAATCAACCCTTTTGCTGTTGGAAAAATTAGCCTATAAAAAATAACCATGAAAAAATTTATTTCATAAAGCGAGCTGGAAAGAATGTCGTAGTTACTTGCAAAGATGCACATTCAGCCAACCAGTTGGTAGACTCCCCCCACCTAGTACACTATAATGTTTTCATACCTGCCTCCCGGGTTGAGGTAACCAGAGTAATATTTGTTGAGCCTGATATTAATTAAGACGAACTTATAAATGAGGGCAATTGTGTCTATCACATAGTTCATGCCAAGCGTATCACTAGGTACTTAAACAGGGAAGTAATCAACACTAACTTCATGATGATAACTTTTGATTCCGACAAACTCCCGGAGTACGTTTATCTCAATTATGTAAGAATGCCTGTAAAACAATACATGAGGCCTATTAGGCAATGTTACAACTGTTTCCGCTATGGGCATGTTGCCAAATCTCCATGCGACAAAACCAAAACTTGCCGAGACTGTAGTCAAGAGTATCACGAGGGACCTTGTACAACATCGATTAAATGTGTCAACTGCGAGGGACCCCACCCAAGCAACAGCAAAACTTGTGCAGAGTACATAAGACAAAAAAAGATAAATGAAAGAATGAATGACTACAAGGAAGATTACTACACTGCAAGTCAAAATATATCGAAGCTGAACAACAGCAACAAATCACTCCTGTCTGATAGGCCTAGAGCCACATATGCTGAAAAGGCTGGACTCCACAGTCAACAAATCATGAGCCCAATGTCATCTCAATATCAATACAGTGAAACAAGTACAAACAATAAATATCTTCCTCTACAAGATGAATATGAAAACGATATCAGCCCTAATAGCCTACCAGTTCCCTACAATACTAAGCCCAAATCAACTCCAACCCCTCGCAATCAGCAAGATCACACTTACCATAAAGCGCCTAGGGTAAGAACCCTAAACAGCTCACCGACACCCTCACCCCCGTTTCAAACACCCCCCAGCAACATTCCTTTTCTGGCGGCAGCAATGTAAACTTAAAAAAACTTCTGAATGAGAAAATAAAAGAAATGATAAACAAGATTCAAGGAGATAACACAATCAGCAAAAATAAATTTGATGATTTATTGATCCAGTTTCAGAAAGATATAGACCTAATAGAACCTACAACATCCAAACAAGTGACTTCTAAAAATTTACGACAAACAACATTAAAAACTACTATTGGAAACAATAGCAATAATAGGAAATTACAAAATGCACATTGATATAATTCAGTGGAATATAAGATCTCTACACAACAAAATTGCAAAAGCCCACTCAAACCGTTGGAAAATATCCAATGGTAAAAAACACTGGCTAAAGCAAAATAGGCCTAAATATTGTACAGTGGAATGCCAGATCATTGCTTCCAAAGTGGCCTGAATTTAACAGGTTACTTTATCTTCATAAGATACACATAGCTGTAATACAAGAATCTTGGTTTACTAAAGACAGTATTATAAGAGATAGTAACTACACAATAATTCGCGAAGATAGAAAGGATGGGTATGGAGGTATTGCATTTATCGTACACAAAGAAATACTCTTTGAACAGATAAAAATACAAGTCGACCTGGTAAAAGAACCTATACAAATGAGCGGAATAAAAATTAGGAATTATAGAGTGCCAATCACTATCATTAACCTTTACTGCCCAAATAATCACATTAATACAAGATTTTGGAAGGAAGCTCTTTTTACAGATGATAATACATACAAAATTGTGTGTGGAGATTTTAATGCTCACCACACATTTTGGAATTGCAACAATATTGATGCAAGGGGCAAAGCAATATTTGAAGCTTACGCTGACTCACAATTTATCATCGCTAACGATGAAAACCACACAACTGTACCCTCAGTATACAGAGCACCCTCAACCATTGATTTAACTTTCGTCACCCCAAATCTATATATATTGCTTAACAGTTGGGAAGTACACAATGATGCTATCGGAAGTGATCACTTTCCAATTTTTTTAAGCTTTGACACACAAAGTATTGACAATGATTCGTGCAAAGGAAGCAAATTTAACTCAACAAACAATAGGAGAAATTTCAAACTAGTGGATTGGAAGGGCTATAGTAACATAATTAAAGATGAAGTACATGCAGTAGAGCAAAACAATATTGACTTAACCAACAACGTAGCTAATTTGTATACCTACAATTATAAATAAGGCAGCTGAAGATACTATCCTGAGATATAAGAGCTTTCCTGGAAACTCAAACAAATTTCAGGCAAAGTCATGGTGGAATCAAAACTGCTCCAGAGCAATAGCCGAAAGAAGGCTATCGCTAAAATTGTTCAAAATAAACATGACACCACTCAACTACCATAGATATCAACTAGCACAATTCAAAGCTAGAGAGATTATTAGAATAGCAAAGAAACAAGAATGGGAAAAATTATGCAAAAATATAGGTGAAAAAAATGCTCACAATACGCCTGGAAAGTTGTTCGCAGATTAAAAACCAATCAGAACCATGATAATAACCCATTACACAATAAACCTGAACTTAAAGATAGTGTTATTAAACAATTAGTACCTGATTATGTCCCCAACCAACCTGAACTTGTGATATTGATCAAAGAAATCAACCAATCCAAACATTTCTTGGAGGAAAATTTTACAATAAATGACTTGAACGTTGCATTACATTCCAAAAGTAAAGACACATGCCCCGGAAATGACAATATCTCCTATAGTATGATTAAAAATCTACCTATGGTAGCTCTGGAAAAATTGCTAATTATTTATAACAAAATATGGAATAACAAAATTCAAATCCCTCCCCAATGGAAACAAACCAAGCTAACTGCATTTCCTAAACCTGGCTATGACGCAACAAAAGCTGAATCTTACAGACCAATTTCTCTAATCTCGTGCTTCATGAAAATTATGAACACCATGATAAAGAACAGATTAGAATGGTTCATTGAGAACAACAATCTGATTCCAGATAGCCAATATGGTTTTAGAAAAAGGAGGGGATGTGGAGACTATCTAATTCATCTCTCCTCAGAAATCAATGTAGCGATGACATATAAAGAATATATGCTTCTAGTATCTTTAGACCTGACCAAAGCCTACGACAGAGTTAATGTTGGTGTACTTTTGAGAAAAATGTACATATTTGGTATCCCAAAACGGTTCATAAATCATTGTCACAACTGGCTCATAGACAGACCGATAAACATGGGTTCAAGCAGCTCCGATCACATCAGAACTACGTGCAGGGGATTACCGCAAGGCAGTGTCATCAGCCCTATCCTATTTGCCCTATACATTTCAGACATTAATGATGAATTACCTTCCAATGTCAAGTCATTACAATATGCTGATGACATAGTGATATACAGTTCCAATAAGGATCTTAACACCACTAATTCTGACATCCAGAATTCACTCGAGCAACTGGAAAAGTATTTTTTAGGACTGAATTTAGAGGTCAATCCGAACAAAAGCAAAGCAATTTGTTTTACAAGAAGTAGAAATTACAATAGCAATACTGTAAATCTATCAATCTGCAATGAAAATATACCTGTACAAGATCACATCAGACTGTTAGGCATCACAATAGATAGAAAACTAACATTCAAAGAACACATCAACAACATCCATCACCAAACTTTGAAAGACCTAAACATACTCAAAATAATATCATGTGGGAACAAAGGTGCACATCCGCGCTTTGTCTTAGATATTTACCAAAGCCTTGTCAGACCAAAACTGGAATATGCAAGCTATATATTCGGACATGCAGCCAATTGTACACTGAAAAAACTAGATATGATACAAAATCAGGCTTTACGAATATCAGTAGGTGCTCATAAAACCACGCCTATCATTGCCTTACACTCAGAAACAAGCAATTTGCCACTTACTGCTAGAAGAATAATGATCACTGAAATGATTATCTACAAAATTCTCACAAATAGCGACCATCCTGCCTACTTCAACCTACTCTATCTGCATACTACGACTATAAACAATAAGTATTGGGCTCACAAGAACTGGCCTTTGTACATTAGTATTGCTAATGCAATAATAACAAACATAACACCTAATATTTATGACATCCCTAGAATCATGAACGAATATGACATGATAAAACCAATTTCTATGATAGAAGATAAGATTCTATGCAAAACAACCTATGAGGCAACATTAAACAAAAACAAAAAGGAGGAGAATAATAATAGCCTAAAACAACATTTTATTACTTTCAACATAACCTATAGCAAATTTCTACAGATATTTACAGATGGATCAAAAACAGCATCCACAGTTGGCGCAGCCTTCTACATCCCGCAATTACTTACGAGCTACACATACAAATTGAATAACATCATGTCAAATTATTCTGCTGAATTATATGCCATATATAAAAGCATTGTCTTCAGCGAGACATTGCAAAACCAAAATATAATTATTTTCTCTGACTCTCAATCAGCTATTACAGCAATTGAAAACTATAAACACTCCAGAACAAGTGATGATATTATCTACAAAATTATCTCCAAAGCCCAAAACGCTATGTACTCCACTGGGTACCTAGTCACATAGGCATTAAAAATAATGAGATGGCTGATCAATTGGCTAAACAGGCAGCTAATGATGGGGAATCTGTTACGGATGTACACGTTCCTTTCAATGACTTCAAATCGTACAGGAAGAAAAGACATAGAGAAGTGTACAGTAATACAATTTTGTTCTCTGCCAAAGCCCAGTGGCACAAGATAATTCAAAAGGAAATTCCCAAAAGACCATGGTTCTATGAATCCAAATTACAGCGAAACGAAATAATCAACATCTGCAAACTCAGACTAGGTCATGCCAACTTCAACAAACATTTACACTCTAAGAACATGTATTTTACACCACTTTGCCTTCGATGCACGTTAGGCCAAGAAGAAACTCTAAAGCATCTATTTTGGGAATGCCCAAGCTATGAAGTCTTCAGGAAATCTTGCCTAAAAGAAAGCTACAAAGAGTATAAGACTATCCTTGCAGCAGCACTCAGCTCCAAAAACGACAAAATTTATAAGGAAATTAACATATATTTGAAAGAAAATAAATAAGAGACTTTAAAGAAACAAGAAACCTTCCAAACACCAACTGTACATAATTGTCACATTTATGTTGTCCATTCTTGGGATTCTTCATCCGTGGCCCCCCTCCCCATTTCTGGGTTAGGCAAGCCTGACGGGCCCCAGGCGAAGAAGATACCCTCTCTCCCTTCCCTAAATCCCAGGAACCCTAGATTTCCTATCTGTTTTACACATCTATGAAAAAAAAATAACGTAACAAACCTTTAAAAGCCTATTGTGTGCTCCTTAACAAAAAAAGAAACATAACAATCAAAATAATAACAACATTAATGTAAACTGTGTAACTAACATAACCTAACCTTTGTTACAGAAGTGTCAAATGCCCAAAGACAACCACAGAAGGATTCAGTGAGTAATAGTTAACATTAGACATCGAACAGGCTGCGTGGAGCAATTATCCAAGCCTTGAGCCTTAAGAGCTCAGAATAAGAAAAAAAAACTTTCTTCTTCTAGTTTAGTTAGTTAATTTACTTCTTACTCACTAAGTTAAAAGTTCACTAAGTTACTTGACTTGATCGTGTATTTATTAGTTAGTATTGCCTCCTAAGATAATCACATAACTTATAACTTACTTGTCAAACTAAATGGTAACATTATCAAATTAAATTAAGTTATTTATTTGTTAATTACAAAACTTAGAAGGCATTCTTGTTTGAAAGAGGCCTAGGCCTGTGGCCAGTGTGTGTTGTTTCATCAATTATTAGGCCTACCAATTATTTAGAGGAATAAAAATGAACAGCGAATTTCAAGCAATTATCATGGCTGGTGGAAAAGGGTCAAGAATGACAGAATTGACATCCAAAAGGTCCAAATGTTTGCTTCCAATTGGAAATTTACCTATGATATGGTATCCACTTCGATTATTGGAAAAGTCTGGATTTCGAGGTAATAATAATTTTTACATCACTTTTATTCAACGTTAATACTAATTAACACAGGAAATTATTAAGTTATCTACTTCATATCTCTAGAAATCACTGTGTAGAATAATTCACAGTGTGTTAGAATATCTCTGGTAACTTCCATAATTCCATATCAGTTCAACCAGGTCATCTCATCCACCATCTCAGAATTTGATGAAACTTGGCTTGTTTGTTCTAACCATAAAGATAAGTCACCATACCAAATTTTAACTCAATACCTCTTACCGTTTTCTTTTTAAAGCCTTTTAAAGTTTTTCGTTTCCGCTAGTGCGAACCATCAGATGTCTCGGAATAAAACTCGCTTACTTTTAGAAAATAATTTATAACTTTTCTGTTTACCGAAGAATTTTCATGAAAATTCATGTACTTATTCCTTAAGACATGAGGATTCCAGAAAAAAATACTAATACCTCTTAGTTTAATGTAATAAGGCTGAAAAAATTTTATTTTTTGTACTTATGAATTTTTAAAACGGGAAGACATAGTTAAGCGTAAAATGGATTATCTAGGAAAGGGTATTAGATAAACAAAAAAACCTTATTTTACTAATAATCCTTATTAAATTAGCTATCAGATGCTGCAAAAAAATTCATGGTGTTTTAATACCTTCATTGTTTTTTATTAAGTTAAAAATCAAAGGACCAGGAAGGTGATTTTTGTTGGGATAAAAAACAAGTACTGCACGACATGCGCGCGGGCCGAAGCCAATGGGAATGAACCGATAACACACCCGTGTTACAGGAATTGGGGAAAAGGACGTAGCTCTACGAGTATGGAGGCAGCAATCATCTGCGAGGGATTCCAAAAGAGTGAGGAAATGTACAACATCAGATACACAAGATTCATAGGAGATGGCGATAGCAGCGTCTACAAAAAGATCCGAGATAGCCGGCCGTATAAAAAGCTTGCAAAAACCACCTCCTGCGAAACATGTGTACGAAATTAAAGACAGTGGCTTGTTCCAAGACAGGAAAATCGTCCGTATTGTTGAGGAAAAAAATTGGAGACAGTTTGATGCGCTGCAGGGTAGCTGTAACAAAGGCAACGGAACACCGTAAATTAGATGAGGTTTCAATGACAGAAAAAATAGATCACCTCAGAAAAGATATTTTAAATATACCTAGCCATGTATTCGGCGAACATTTGAACTGCAAGGAAAGGGGATATTTCTGTGAATTGGACCTAGTAACCGCTTCAGATGGCAATAATTTTGTTCCTAAGCTCATTTCAGTGGGCCTATACCAAGCAGTGCAAGACATATTCAGAGATTTGAGTCGTCATTCTCGTAGCCTACTGATTGACGTTACCAGCAATTACGTGGAACATTTTAATTCCATAGTTGCAAAGTTTATCGGTGGAAAAAGGATAAACTTTTCCTCCAATGGCCCTTATCAAAATCACTGTACCGCTGCTGTCGTGCAACATAATACTGGCCAAGTGCACTACAAATTTCACAAAGAAGTATTTAAATCAAGTCCGGGAGCATTTTCAAAAAGCACAGAACTAAAGAGGAAAAGAAAAAGTGAACTCAAGCGAGTCCATAAACGTGTAAGAAAATCATTGTTTTCCCAACGTTTTGAGGAAAATATTGACTATGGACCCTCGTGTCAAAAACCCGACATTGACGATGAAACGTTTGAAAGAGAGTCGGCAGAGTTTCTTCTCGCCCTCCGAAAGACCGAAGGGGAACAACACCAAATTGAGAGGGAGACTCTGCTTCAAGCAGACAGTAGTGAATGGCTTGAACTGAGAAGAAGTCTCCTCACAGCTTCGCACTTTGGTCGCGTGTGCAAAATGCGGGAAACGACGGGTTGTGAATCCCTAGTAAAGCAGATTCTATACAACACTGTGGACTGTGAAGCAATGGCTTATGGAAGAAGAAACGAAGATGTTGCTCGAAAAGAGCTAGAGAGTATTTTGGGTGAAAAAGTGGATAAATGTGGCCTTTTCATAGACAAAGACCACTGCTACCTTGGAGGAAGTCCAAGATAATGTGACAAAGATAATGCAACAGTTGAGATAAAATGTCCGTTATCAGCTCAAGAAATGACTCCAGATGAAGCCATAAAAAACAAGAAGTTTACTTTTTGGACAGTGTCTAAGGATGGCGAAGTTGGAGACGTCAATAGGAAGTACAACTTCTTCTATCAAGTACAGGGGCAACTACGAGTTACTGGGTGTGATTTTTGTTATTTTGTATTATGGACACCAAAAGGAACAAAAATATCAAAAATATTAAAAGAAAACACTTTTTGGGAGGAACACATGTTTCCAAAGTTAAGCAAATTTTACCACAACTGTCTTCTACCAGAACTAGTTGACCCCCGTCACAGCAGATCGATGCCAATCAGAAACCCATATTACATCGAAGAGGCCAGGAACAAAGCAATGAACAAGAAAACTAAAAAATCTTCCAAGAAGACACTTCAAGAATAATATTTCACGTAAAGTTTGTTAAATTGTAGACTGTCAGAAAAACTTTTTTCATTTGAGGACAAAAAATCTAATTGTTTGCATATGATTTGAGTTTTTTATCAATCAAAATATCTACTAATTCTCAAATAATCACGTTGCCTATATGAACGTAATATATTGTTGTTTTTTTTTTTACATTTTTTTACTATGATATGTGTGTATATACTAAATTCCTAATTTTACATGTTATATTTGTTGAAATTTTACTATTGAAAAATCAAATTGTTTGCATATAATTTGAGTTTGTTTTTATCAATCAAAATATATACTAATTCTCAAATAATCTCGTTGCCCATATAGACGTAATATATTGTTGGTTGTTCAAAATTTTATTACTATGATATATGTATATATACTAAATTCCTAACTATACATGTTATATTTATTGAAATTTTATTGCTGAAAAATCTAATTGTTGGCATATGATTTGAGTTTGTTTTTATCGATCAAAATATCTACTAATTCTCAAATAATCTCGTTGCCTATATGGACGTAATATCATAGACTTAGCAACACTAAGGGAGTATGATTTATCTATGGTAAAATATTGTTGGTTGTTCAAAAATATTTCACTTTGATATATGTATTTTGTATATATACTAAATTCCTTATTATACATGTTCTTTTTTTTTAAATGTTATTACTAAGTAGTTGTATATGAATTGTTTGCATATGATTTGAGTATTGAGTTTGAATTATAATAGTCACTGTGGTGTTCTTACTACAAGAAATCTAATGTGATGTCCCCTAAGAGTATTTCGGTTCTTCTAAATATTCATGCGAATGTCTGGTTTGATTGATTCTTTGGAAGGAAGAAACATATTGTGACAATTTAATTGAGCTTTTTTGTATGTGTTTACGTTAACTTTGAGAACGAACAAATTACATTCCCTGGCGTTAAAATGATATTTGTCTTTTATTGATTTTATAAAGAGCTTCATACCATGTATAAGTCTGAAATTAGAAATATAATTTATTTTGAAGCTAGACCTAATAATAATGTTGAGTCTGATGTAAAATTTTGATACAAAATGTAGGTGACTATAAAATACTCGGTGCATTCAAAATATTGTATATTATGATTTATAAGTTTTATTTTTGTGAGTAAAATCCTTACGTCTTACTTGAGTACTTTACTTTGCCCTCATATTACTTTACTTGTTTACTAAATGTTATTTTTGCAAGCAGTTTGTGTTAGATAATTTATCCATTGCTTCTAAAAGCCTGTTTGTAGTATCATAGCTTATCTCATTAGTTCACAAGCTCCTATTGACTTATATTTTACATGTCTATGAAAATAATTGTTGGCACAGGATCAAATGTAAACTCTATTATACAGGGTGAGTTTTAAATGAGTTCCCCCCCCCTACTTTTTTCTACATTTCTTAAGATATCAACACCGGACCATGTCAGATCATTGTAGAGTAGTAAGTACTTCATTTTGACTGGGTATGAAATTTTGGCCGCCATCTTGGATCTGCCAAATTGGATACAAAGTTTTTTTTTCAAATGTAAAGGTAGGATTGTGACCCATCTTTTCAAGCTAGATTTTTACGCTGAATGTGATGCTGCAATCCGTTTTTAAAAATCTTGATCCATTCTAAAGTTGAAAACATTTTATAACTTATTTTTAGCCCATTTTAACATTGTGCAGTTACAAACTCAGACTATAATCGTAAAATAGAGCTAGATAAAGATAAGTATACACCACCAGTCATTGTCAACCTATTTTCACTTGGTTATGATCACTTGGATACGATTATGGTCTTAGTTTGTAACTGCACAATGTTAAAATTGGCTAAAAATAAAGTTTTAAACAGTACTCATAACTTTAGAACGGATCAAGATTTTTAAAAACGGATTGCAGCATCGTATTCAGCGTAAAAATCTAGTTTGAAACAATGGGTCACAACCCTACCTTTGCATTTGAAAAAAAACTTTGTATCCAAGATGGCGGCCAAAAATTTATACCCAGTCAAAATGAAGTACTTACTACTCTACAATGATCTGATGTGGTCCGGAGTTGATATCTTAAGAAATGTAGAAAAAAGTAGGGGGGGGGGACTCATTTAAAACTCACCCTGTATGTTAATATTGTTGAATTAATATTGTTGTGTCATCAAGAGATGAACTACTGTTAACACGAAAACAAACTGTACAATTATTCTACTATAATTAGGCTTACACAAAAACAGACAATACAATAACGCAATAGTAACCAGCTATAGCGCAAATGGTTGGCGAGTTCCTCAGCGCCCACACTACTCTGCCTTGTCGAAACTTTCACCAGTTTTATTGTGTCAGCCCGAGTGGTCCTGACCCTTGGGTTAAACAACCCTATGTTTTTTGCCCTTCCTGAACAACCGGTCCGCCATTAGAACTGCCTTGCCGACGTTGATACCGTGAGCGACGGCAGCGCCACAGCTGTAAGTGAGTAGCAAGAGAATTAAAAGGCGATTTTGAGTTGATGTCCGGCCCACTCTTAATGACTTTTTTCTAGTTTAGTTAAAGACAGTAATCCAAATGTTAATACTTTGAATATTCAAAATACCTCAAAATGTAAAAGTATAGGAGATAGACTACTTAAACCTATGTTCTGTTTTACTCCTGTAATAGTGATGAGGTGGAACAAATCATGACCTCATTGAAAAGTACCAAGTCGAGTGGGTATGATGAGTTCCCAGTAACTGTGTTGAAGGAAGTGAAAAGGAATATCAGTAAAATTCTTAGTCACTTGATCAATTCCTCGTTTATCACTGGTTTATTATCCAACAAAATTTAAAAAATCTATAATCATCCCGGTACCAAAAAAAGGTGATGCTTCAGATGTAAACAACTATCGACCAATATCTCTTCTTCCATCTTTATCTAAAACTTTTGAGGAAATAGCTTCAATCCAGTTAGGTAATTATTTAGAAAAATACAATTTATTGTATGATATTCAACATGGCCTTACATCTGGTATATCAGTTGTTAGTGCCGCAGTCTCATTTGTGAAATCAAATAATGTTTAGTTTGTTGTTTTGTAGAGGCTATAGTAGTCGTGACTGAACAGATCAAGAATGATGTCCAAGTTGCATTAGACCGCACAGGATTGAAAATTCATACAGATATTGTTGGCATCCCTGGAGGAGAAGACTGGGGTACGGCAGACACTTTGCGACACTTGGAAGATTCGAATAAAATTAAGGTATATTAGCATTGATTATTGAATTGCAATTGTTGTTCTATAAAAATCATAAATATTATAAATGTGAAAGATTGTGTGTTAGTTTGTTTTAAGTTCAATCACACATTAACTACTGGTTGTATTGTGTTGAAATTTGGTATGATGATAGCTCACATTCCCGATTAACATATAGCCAATAGACTACCTATATAGAATATTCTTACCTCAAAAATCCTTTCGGGCTCCACCCCAACGGCTCTATAGTTTCCCATGTTAACCTTATGAGGATTCATATTTAAAAGGAACTAAATAATTTTGTCTGTTGTTTCAACTACACAATTTGTTTCTATGATATTCAATAGCATTAAACGGTCATAAGGTTTACCAACAGGGTGTAGCACCATTAGTTCTTTATACATTTATGACAACAGCTAATTTGAACCAAGCAGCAAAAAAAACCTGTGAGAACTTTACTTCTTTCTATTGTTGTGAAGTGGTAGAACATTATGGCTATAGTAGATGTTCTATACTATCGTATACTGTAAATCATAGTAAACCAAATTTTCTTAAAACGTGTCCTCTCCCATTGCAAATGCAAAGCACGAGTATAACTGCAATAAGCATTGTACTTATTAGGGTGGGACAAAAAAAATCACAAACACTTTTTTTGAGTTGGAATACCTTGGAAAAGTTGCTGAATTGTAAGACCAAAACAGGATGAAAATATTAAAGATATTGGTTATTATCTTCCGGTCGCGGATGTGCTCTATAAAGTTTGAACAAAAAATAAAAAACTCATATTTTATCCGAAATTTTTACAACTTTAAAATTTTTTATTTTTAATATTTAATAGTTGAAAATGTCATCTACAAGACACTAAGAAATTGATATTTAAATAATAGTATTGCATGTTAATATCTTCCAGTCGGAAATCGGCTTCAAATATTGCCAAAAATCAAGAAAAACGTCATTTTGTACTAGTGATGAAATTTGGTACAAACGTGTAAACCTACATTTATTTGAACGAGTTCGCGAATCAGCATGATCGGACTATGGGAATAGGGGTTTATGGGGGGTTTTATGGGGTAAAATTAGGTTTTTCCCATTGTTGACACTAAAAACACAAAATTTCACAATTTCTTTCCAAACCATTTTGTAGAGCTTAAAAAAACAAATAATTTAGTATATTGAAGCGTTGTTATGCGCCTAATGGTTGCGAATAAAATTCCCATGCTTTTCTTATGGAGAATGGGGTAAAAATAGGTTTTTCCCATTTTTGACCCTAAAAACACAAAATTTCACAATTTCTTTTTAAACCATTTAGTAGAGCTTAAAAAAAAACAAATAATTTAGTATATTGAAGCATTATTATGCGCCTAATTGTTACGGAGAAAATTAAAAATTCCCATGCTTTTCTTATGGAGAATAAGTCAACTGTTGTAGTTTTCTTGTTTATGAACAAATTTTGTTCGAATTTGGAAAATACATTCATTTCTTACTAAACTATTAAGATTTTACAACAAAAACACTTTTTTACCCCCCCCCCCCCTGTTGCAGCAAACCTAAGTACTCGTTAAACTAATATTATATTATATTACGATTTATATTATATTTAAATAGGGAATAAAATGTGATATTTTTAAGGAGACATTTTCATGTAAATCCAATCAGGCAAATGGAAATTCGCTAAGTCTGTAGGTTTGCTGCGGCGGGAGTATTTTAGGTTTTGTATGTACCTAGGCTGTTCTAAATTAAAGGTTCCTTTCTATTATTATCTATTCTATTACAGTTGAACCTCGTTTGTACGAACCTCGATAAAACAAATTCCTCAATAAGACGATTTTTTTAAAATCCCATTGACACTTTCATATAGGTCAATGCTAAAAACACCTCTATACAACGTAGTAATTAAGTTAAAAACCTCCATAAGACGAATTTGTTTGTGACATGGACTAGGACTGATTAACCTCTATACAACGAATATTCTTAGGACAAAACCTCTACAAGACGAACGTGACCTCTATAAGATGAATTTACCATAATCTTAACCTCCATAGTATGTAGTTTTCAAAACAAACAGAAGCTTGTCTCAACATGAAACCCCCACCCATCCCTCCTCCTTCCTCAGTCATTGTTTGGAGAAACCTTGGAGCGAGGAGAAACCTCTATAAGAAGAATAACAGCAGCATTAAACCTCGATAAAACGACCCTCTTTATTAAGAATACCTCTATAGTACAAATTGTTCCCGTACCCCTTGAAATTCTTCTTATAGAGGTTCAACTGTATATGGGGTACGTTTAAGTTCGGTAAAGGTTCACCAATGGAATTAATCATCTCAGTTTCATCTGTTACTCTAGATCCAAGCAGGGCCATAAAAAAGTATGGCTGTGCACTCGGTGAATGAAGAAATTAGTACTTCTGTTCCCCTCATATCAGTGGTGTTTTTTGTGGGGGGGGGGGAGGGGGGGTTGGTTAAATTTTCTTGACAAATACAGTAATGGGCAAAAAGGTTCTAACCTTTTCAATCACGTCATTTCGCAACATTATTTCTAAAACTAACGTTTTTCAATTTTAGGTTATATTCATGTGGGCTACTGTAACACCCTATGTTGCAGAGTTATAAGTTTTTTTCTAATTTAAACTAAATATATAAATGTGGAAGCGTGAAAGAAGTTTTATTTTTGACAATTTAAGTATTAAGTATGTTTCATTTAACTTAATACTTTTGCTATTAATTCAACTAGTCCAAAATGGTCAAAGATTATTCTTTTGATAAACACAATATATGGTTTTAATAACATTTGTTAAAAACAGTCTTTTTGGAACTGTTTCGGCTTTGCTACACCCTATATTAGCGAATTTCCCTATAGGGAAGTAGCTATTACCGTAGGTCTCATAGTAAGACCTAAGCCCGGGACCGATTTACTTTTTCATTTTGATGTCCCCAGAGGCCAAAAACACCATTCGTTCAAATTTTTATATATCTATATATAGAGAGATATATATATATATAGGGCGACAAAAAAGTCTGGAAACAGCTTTATATCTTTTTAACTAAATTCTTTAGAAAATTCAGACCTTTCACACCAACTTATTTGTATGAAAACTACTTTTTGCAAGCATTATCATTTTTTGGCCTTCACCAGGGGACGACCCATGAGGAGTAGGTACATAATCTTTAATGTAAGCATAGGTTGATATTCACACCATTTTAAAGGTCTGGTCAAGTGGAGTTCATAGCCGGAAACCGCGTCAAAAAAGGTTAATCCGTTACAAAATGGCGGTAGTCCAAAGTTTTTGCGGAATATACCTGCACATGTCTTAGTATTGGTAAATACTCATAGTCAACATTAGCCAGGAAATCTGAAACCCGGTTAAATTTGTTTTGAAGATTGAATCATATTAGTATATGAGCTAGTTGACGTTAAAATACAATTTCAGCTCTCAAGCTAATGTTGATTACCAGTATTTACCAATACTAAGGCATGTGCAGGTATATTCTACAAGAACTTTGGAAAGCTGCCATTTTGTAACAGATAAACCTTTTGAGACGCGGTTTCCGGCAATGAACTGCACTTGACCAGACCTTTAAAATGATATCAACCTATGCTTACATTAAAGATTATGTACCTACTCCTCATGGCTAAAGGAAGGTCAAAAACCTACTGGGAGGTGTACCTACTCCCTGGTGAAGGTCAAAAAATGGTAATGCTTGCAAAATGTAGTTTTCATACATATAAGTTGATGTGAAAGGTTTGGATTTACTTAATGAATTTAGTTAAAAATATATCAAGCCGTTTCCAGACTTTTTTGTCACCCTGTATAACGCACGATAACTTGAGTAATTTTTGTCCGATTTTGATAAAATTTGGTTTGAAGGTGTAAGGCGGGATAAACTTGAATGAGTTCGCGAACCAGTATGATCGGACTATGGGAACGGGGGTTTATGGGGGGTTTTATGGGGTATAAATAGGTTTTTCCCATTTTTGACCCTAAAAACAAAAAATTTCACAATTTCTTTTTAAACCATTTTGTAGAGCTTAAAAAAAACAAATAATTTAGTATATTGAAGCATTATTATGCGCTTAATTGTTACGGAGAAAATTAAAAAAAAATTGTAATTTTATAATTCCCATGTTATTCTTATGGAGAATAAGTCAACTGTTGTAGTTTGCTTATTTATGAACATATTTTGCTCAAATTTGGAAAATACATTAATTTCTCACTAAACTACAGTATCTATTAACATTTTACATTAAAAACACTTTTTTACCCTCCCTTTTGCAGCAAACCTAAGTACTCGTTAAACTAATTCTATTTAAATAGGGAATAAATGTGATATATTTAAGGAGACATTTTAGTGTAAATCCAATGAGGCAAATGGAAATTTGCTAAGTCTGCAGGTTTGCTGCGGCGGGGGTATTTTATAAATGTACTACTAACAACTAAATGTGTATTATTTACATAAACAGTATCAACATATTTTTTTATTTGCCAAAGGTAGATGAAATATTAAGATACCGTATTGAAACTATATTATACATACAAATCTACTTTAAAAGCAAACTCAACAATGACATTACACTTTCCAGAATATTGCGCATACATTGTCACTTGCGTGAGACATGGCGAAAAGAAATCGCTGACAGTAGGAACAAATAAACCCGAATTGTAATTCCACTCAAAAATCGGTAGGTTATGATATTTTTATTTAAAACTTTCCAAAATTTTGGGACACATACATTTTGAATGATAAAACTAATAATAGTAGGCTACATTTCATGATCAGTTTTAAGTCTCCAACGTAACAACGCCCTTGGGGGGCAGCCATCTCGCCATCTAGTTACGGCCCTGGATATAAGATAATTATGACATAATGTGTAATCAAACAAACAACTAAACCCAGTAATAATTGAGGTCAGTTTTATCTCACAGGCAAGATATGATTGATTTTGAGGCAGAAATCCTGTGTTAAGCTCATGACAACAACCTTGCCCACGAGACTGAGATTGTTTTAGGATTTTAAATTTGTTGTTTTTAGGTTAAAAAATGGGACAACCCCATTTTTACCCCATAAGACGGGGGTTCCCATAGATTATGCTGGATCGCGAACTCGTTAGAATAAACGTAGGTTTACACGTTTGTACCAAATTTCATCAAAATTGGATAATTTTTTCTCGAGTCATTGCGTTAACGGACACACATGTATATATATATATATATGAATTTAAACGGATGGTGTTTTTGGCCTCTAGGGACCTCAAAATGAAAAATTAAATCGGTCCCGTGTCCAGGTCATACCATGAGTACTACGGTAATAGCTTATTCCTTATATGGGAAATTCGCTAAAAGTCCATCAATCTCTGTTACAGAGCGATGTTGTTATAGTCAGCTGTGATCTCATTACCGATGTCGACCTCTCAGTGGTCATAAACCGATTCCGTCAACACGAAGCGTCTCTTGCCACTCTCTTCTTTCAACCAACTCCTGCTACTGTAATTTTACCAACTCCAGGCCCCAAGTCCAAAAACAAGACAGGTCAGTGAGATATACAACAACTTTGCAACTTTGTTTCCGCAACTTTGTTTCCGTCAGTCAAATGTTTCTGTCCAGTTTCTGCCATGGTATTATATTGAACCTAGTGATATGGGTAGGGTATTTATCTCAGGGGTGGGTAAATACCCAAAAGTGGTAGGTATTTATAAGAAGTATAAACATTAACAGTGTTTTGCATTGCATAGTTCGTTGGATTTACCATGTAAAAATGAGAAACTGGTGAAAGTACCCATGTATGCTAAAAAAGTGGGTATTTAAGATTTTAAAGCCGGTATTTATGATTTTGTTTATCGACTTTATAGATTTTCTACAAGACAAATATAAAAAAATGTATGTACAAAAACTTTAAACATTTATATAGCTTTTATAATTTAAATGTGTGTAAAAGAGTACATAGGCTAATACATATCCTCTCCTAAATACAATTTTTTTTTGTCCTAGGACGCTAGGCACGAGCACAGAAAACATACTACTAAAACTAAAATAAAATATACAACATAAACTCATTTCAATGCAGGGCGTCCACCGACCGGGAAAACCGGGAGAACCGGGAATTATGCGTGATTTTTTTGGACTGGGAAAAAACCGGGAATTATGCATGAATTTTGTATTTTACCGAAAATTTTAAATTTGCCGCGATCGCGCATGAAGATGACGTTTCCGTGACTGCGGGAGAAGATGATGATGTCCAAACTGCCGTGGGATTTGTTAGTGATTTTGCCGCGATTGCGCATGTCAATGATTACGTATACGTGGAAACGACGATGACGTTTCCGTGACCGCGGGATACGATGATGACATTTCCGTGACCGCAGGAGTCGACGATAACGTTTCCGTGACCGTGGGAGACGACGATGTCATTTCCGTGACCGCGGGAGATGACGATGAAGTTTCCGTGACCGCGGGAGACGACGATGACGTTTTCGTGACAGTGGGAATATGTTAGGCATTTTGCCGCGATCGCGCATGCGGACGATGACGTTTCTGTGACCGCAGGAAACGATGATGATGTCCAAAAGATATTGCTTGACGATGTTGACCGCGGAAAATTATTTGAATTAAGCTACGATGGAGAAAGACAATATCAGGATTTTGTCACGACCACGGTTTAAAGATTAGTTTTTAATTTTCGGATTATGTAATCAGTAATATATAAAAATTGAATACTTGTGTCAGGCAATATTACAGCAATCATAAATTTTGTTTCTTTACCTGAGAATGCTCTTTCCGATAACTAAAACTAGCGCTAAAACAGCATTGCGGCAGATGGCGCAAAACACGTTGGAAATTTTAGTATAAAAAGTACGACCGGAACTACCTGGAATATTTTTTTTTACTCATGAATTACTCATGAATTTTTTCTGGTTGGCCTGGTGGACACCCTGCAATGCTATTTAATGGGAAAATATTAAATTAAAACTCGTGTGTAGTGTCTAGCTGAATAATAATAAATACCCTGGGTATTTAGCCGCAGTTATATTTCCCTGGGTATTTTACATCTCTAATTGAACCCATCATACAATGTGTGAATATGCATCAGTAAAGATGCAAGTCATGAAACTGGTTGCAATTGAGTTTTGAGCTTTCGGGACATGATTCTTTTGGGGTCAATTATATGTTGCAACTTGCAACTTTGTTTCAAGAAATAGAAAATGAGTATATGTGCACAACTACAAGCATCCTGTGGTTAACTGACACTTTACACTGTAGACAGTGTTTTTCTGTGTCTATTCAGGTCCTGGTCACAATTTCATTTAACGTTCAAGGTTTATATTTTCCACAGAGAGAGACTTAGTGGCTATAGATCCTGCCACCTCACGGCTGGTGTTTCTAGCCTCAGCCAGTGACTATGAGGAGACTCTAGAACTGTCTCGGGGTCTACTCAAGAAACACGGGAAAGTACAACTGTATTCTAAACTGCTGGATGCTCACGTCTACGTTATGAGACGGTGGCTGACCAAGTACCTCTCTCACAACAGGTTGGCCATCCAGTAGCAAGAAACATTAACATACAACAATACCATATTGAATATCATTGTAATATTCGTGAAGCATTTTTCAAGCAAGTCATTTTTGTGCCAATTATAAAATGGTTTGTTACAGCTGGACCTTGTCTCATTGACTGTGAGCACTGGAGTAGTCACCTGCAGAAGCTTGTCTCTTTACTCCAAGAGAATATAGTTAATGGAGTCCACATAGATTGTTCTAATATCACAGTTATATTTCATCTTTTAGTTTTTATAAGTATGATGATCGAGTACATAAAAGATGCTATAAGAGTATTTTATACTATGTTGATTGCTCAGTTATTGATACAGTTGTTAGGAATTTTTATATTAAAAAAGTTAAGCCATCAACATGTTTTTTTATAAAAATAAGTTCATTCTATAAATTCTAAAACTAGTTCAAGTAGGGAGTAAGATGTCTCTAGTCTTGGTTTTCCAGAGAGGCTTGTTTCCTATTAAGTTGATTGGGTCAACATTAAAATTTATTCAATTTATTAAATTTAAAAAAAGTCTTGTAGCCTATATATTTTAGTTTGCTCCTAGCGGTACCTCTAATCTAATTAATTCAGTAAGAAAGAGAAATATACCGTATCTCGCAAGTTTTATAAAACAGTATTTTTTTGTTGCAAGGAATATGAGTACCCTGAAAGGAGAGTTGATTCCCTATACTGTCAAAAAGCAGTTTTCTCGTCCACCCTCTGCCAAACACGACCATGAGAAAGCGGCATCCGTTGTATATTCATTCCCCAAGACAGGTAGGTAGCTGGGTGATTTGTTAACGACTTGACTAATATAAATCTATATACCTAATGCAATAAAGGGGTTTCTCTGTAACAATAATTTTTCAGCAGTCCTACTTTTAACTGATTTTCACGATTGAGATGTCATTTTAAAGTTTATGATCCAGTGCACTGCGAATAGTAACGAAAAATTTAATTCCCTTAAGGGCTTTGTCTCCCTTGCATCTAAATTATTTCTTGATTTCACTTTCAAAGATCCAGTGATGCTGACCAACTTTCCTTATGCTTTGCAACGGGAAGAAAATGGGACCTAGGCAGCCATTATAGTATATCCACTACCAGCTACTATATTATAGTATTGCTTGGTGGCTAGCTGGGTGCTGATGTCTGCTTAAGAATAAAGCAACTGTATGATTTAATTTGAAAAGAATCTGATTTAAAAGTGTAAACCTACAAACTTTCAAAACCCTACTTTTGATGTCAATAGATCCAAAAGAATATGACAACATACCTTAGTGTAGCAATAACATCAAAATTACTTGATATTGATGCTTCATGAATGCCATGTTTTACCATAATTGTTCAATTTTAGTCAAGCCTTTTTACATATAACTGAGTTTCAAATAAGTTCTCCCCCCCCCCTGCTACTTTTTTCTAAATTTCTTAAGATATCAGCTCCGGACCACGTCAGATCATTGTAGAGTAGAAAGTACTTCATTTTGACTGCATATACATTTTTGGCCGTCATCTTGGATCTGCCATATTGGATAAAAAGTTTTTTTTTTCAAATGTAAAGGTAGGGTTGTGACCCATAATTTCAAACTAGTATTTTCTGCTGATTACAATGCCACAATTTGTTAAATTATTGATTCATTCTAAAGTTATGAGGACTTTTTATAACTTAATTTTTAGCCCATTTCAACATTGTGCATTTACAAGCTAAGACCATGATCTCAAAATCATGTTGGCTCAAATTATCATGCTAACGGATATATATATCTTACTATCTTACTAATATTATAAATGTGAAAGTTTGTGTGTTTGTTTGTTTGTTTGTTTGTTTGTTTGAAGTTCAATCACGCATAAACCACTGGACGGATTGGGCTGAAATTTTGCATGATGATAACTTACATTCCCGATTAACATATAGGCATATTCTTATCTCAAAAATCCTTTCGGGCTCCGCCCCAGTGGCTCTGTAATTCCCCATGTTAACCTTATGAGTATTCATATTTAAAGGGAGTTAAAGAATTTAGTCAGCTGTTTCAACTAAAAAAGTTGGTTCTATGATATAGAAAAGCATTAAAAAGTTATAAGATTTACCAACAGGGTGCAGCACTATATTTTTTTTGCATTTATGAAAACTGCTAATATGAACTAAGCAGCAACAAAAAACTGTGATTCGCAATGAGAACTGTAAAGTAGGATTGTTTACAGTTATGTTTATGTTTTTCATTTCATGAATATTTTGTGATATTTTGCAAATTGTTGATAATTTATTTTTCTCTATTGTTTAGATGAAGTGGTAGAACATTATGGCTATGGTAGATGTGTAATACTATAGAATACTGTAAATTTAAAAAAGCAAATTTTATCAAACTGTTTCCTCCCTTATTGCAAACGCAAAGCTTGAGTATAACTGCAATAAGCATTTTATACTTATATTCCAACCCCGTACGAAGGACGGGTACTCTGCTAGTATATATATATATAGGAATTTGAACGGATGGTGTTTTTGGCTTTAGGATCTAATTGATTTGTTTCTCAATGATTTTTCTTTTTCCACTCTGCTCTCAGGTCTTCTTATATTCATACCTCTCAGGCTCTAAGAATTCATATCATCCATAGGCTGGCTCGTTATATCATGCGAAAGACCATTGTCAACACCCCTGCCCCCGCCATCATTAATAATATTAGGTTTGTCCTCCACCACTTCCATACCGGAGGAGGACATCATATTATAAAATATAATATTGGCAGAACACAGGTTGTTGGTTATTTGAATAGTTAAAAAATGGTATGTTATAGATGAGTGAACGAAGTGAACGAATCTATGTATCTTGTATAGCGGAGTCGGAGAAAAGTTGTCTGTGAGTCCGTGAGTGTGTTCGCACCAAAAACTCAAGAACCGTTGCACTTATAGCGTTCAAATTTTGCACAAATAGTTATGACACCAGTGGGAAGACCTCATTAAAATTCTAGACGATTCCGTTCAGTAGTAATTATAAAAACCTTAAAAACATTTTTAAATTTGTCCCATAAGAATAACATTAGGAGCTACCTTCTTCTTCTTTTTATTTGTTTACGTTTTGCGACAAACAATTTTGTTGTCTACTTAAGACAGAGAGAACGACTTTTACTCTAAGCTATTTCATTCATGGAGTAAACAGTTTGGCGTCTATGAATATATATCATTATAATTTCACAGGTTTCAGAATAATGTTGTTTGAGTCAATTAAATTTCACAACTTTCTGAATAATAAATTGAATTTGAACTACAATATTAATCGGCAGTTATATACCGTTTATGTTCAGTACTGTATTAAAATTCAACTTAAAATTAAAAATATATATGTATATATTTAGAACAAAGCAGCTTTTTACATTATTCAATTTAATGTTGGCATTGAATATTAAATATTCAAAGATGTTAGTAATACTAAAATGCTATGCGAAGGGAGGGGGGGGGAACAGGTCCACGACGTAGAGAGTGGTAAAGGAAGCGGAAAGGTGAGCAGTGCGGAGTGTGGAAATCCTTTGTGACTGTTAAATTAATATATCTGTAATACTTAAATGCTATGGAAAGAGATGGAAACAGGTCTACGATGTAGGAAGTAGTGAAGGAAGTAGTCAAGGCGAGCGCTACGGAGTGTGGAAAGCATTTGTGACAGTTATAATAATTTATCTACAATTCTAAAAACGCAATGGGAAGGGAGAGAAACAGGTCCACGACGTAGGAAGTGGTGAAGGAAGTAGTCGAGGCGAGCAGTCCGGAGTGTGGGAACCCTTTGTGACAGTTAGATTAATGGATCTGCAATGATAAAATGCTAAAGGAAGGGAGGGAAACAGGTCCACGATGTAGGAAGTGGTGAAGGAAGTAGTGAAGGCGAGCAGTCCGGAGTGTGGGAACCCGTTGCGACAGTTAGATTAATGGATCTGTAATAAAAAAATACTAAAGGAAGGGAGGGAAACAGGTTCACGACGTCAGAAGTGGTGAAGGAAGTAGTCAAGGCGAGCAGTGCGGAGTGTGGAAATCCTTTGTGACAGTTAGATTAATGTATCTGCAATAATAAATGCTAAAGGAAGGAAGGGAAACAGATCCACGACGTAGGAAGTGGCGAAGGAAGTAGTCAAGGCGAGCAGTCCGGAGTGTGGGAACCCGTTGTGACAGTTAGGTTAATGGATCTGTAATAAAAAAATACTAAAGGAAGAGAGGGAAACAGATCCACGACGTAGGAAGTGGTGAAGGAAGTAGTCAAGGCGAGCAGTCCTGAGTGTGGGAACCCGTTGTGACAGTTAGATTAATGGATCTGTAATAAAAAAATACTAAAGGAAGGGAGGGAAACAGGTCCACGACATAGGAAGTGGTGAAGGAAGTAGTCAAGGCGAGCAGTCCGGAGTGTGGGAACGTTTTGTGACAGTTAGATTAATGTATCTGCAATAATAAAATGCTAAAGGAAGGGAGGGAAACAGGTCCACGACGTAGGAAGTGGTGAAGGAAGTAGTCAAGGCGAGCAGTCCGGAGTGTGGGAACCCGTTGTGACAAATCAAATCAAATCAAATCGTTTATTTCCAAAATATAAACAATACAATAAACAGATATAAATTAAAAAGAAATATATTTTTCCGCATAGGCGTAAGCCCGTGTGCGGAAAAAGAGTTCTAAATCTGCTACCTATCTGGTATATTGTGGATAAACAGTAATTTTTATTGTCTAATTAAACATTTACTACATTTCTTAAAAATAATTATATATTACATAAAAACATAATTTAAAAGTTAATATGTACAAAATTAGGACACAATAACACAAAATAAATTTAGAGTAGAATTTCCTAATGTAACCAAAGATTAAAATAAGCAACTAGAAGCTACAATAGCTACAATGAAAGGGTCTCAGCAGATTACTAAGATGTTTACGTTTTTTTTTTCTCTCTAATGAGCCTAATTATATGGGGATTTTACCAGCGCCTCCGTAGCCGTCCGGCCAATGCTGGCAAGCCAAGTACTCACCTTTCTTTTGTACACCGGGACACTGCTCTCTTCATACTGCAGAATTTGTGGCGGAAGATTGCGATATAAGATATGGGCGATAAAAAATGGGTTACTTTTTAACGAGGTTATATTTAATCTAGGAAATTGGTAACCAAAGTTGATTCTATGTCTTGTAGGATAGTTATGCTGCAAATTGGTAAAAATTATGTTTTTGTTTGACCTAATAAAGACTAAAAGAGTTTTTACAAATAACTGTCGTATATCATGAACACGAAAATCTGAGTACATATCCTCTATTGGATATCTCGATGGTTTGCTAAGTATGGTTTTGATTAATGACCTCTGCGCAACAGCCAGAGGCTCGAGCATAGAGGCCGAGACACCGCCCCACGCCAATATACCATATTGAAGCAAAGACTGAACGTAAGCATAGTAAACTGTCCTACAGTAATCCGTGGTCAGCACTCCGGCAAGTTGAGAAAATGCATATATGAGCTTTCTAAGTCGTTGTTTGAGATAATGAATGTGGTGAGCCCAACTAAACTTTTGATCAATTATAATGCCTAGGTACGTGTACTTCTCTACCCGCTCTATAACGTCACAAGTACAAGCCGCTGACCGAAAGTCGCCGCATGTATGAAGAAATAGTTGCCTCGGGCTGGGGTCACTTTCATTCTTAAAAAATATTGGTAAACTTTTTGTTTTACTTATGTTAAGGGTTAACGTGTTTTGGTCTAACCAACGTTTAACTTTATAAATGTCTGTAGATGCTTGTTCATATGCCTCGTCCCACGTGCATC